AAATTTCTTCTTATTGTATATTATATATAAATGCAATATAAATATAGTTTATATCATATTTCATATTTTTTTATTTTATATTTCAAAATAGAATATAAATATTGTATGTATATAATAATAGCAATAGTAAAAAATACAATTAAATTAAATTCAGCTGAAAAATTTTTAGCAGTTGTCACAGGACCTTTTCAGCAAATTTAGTTCTGTGAAATTACATTCTCTTCCTAAAGTCTCAAATATTGAAGAATGTTGAGGTACGTTATATATTATTATTATATTCATGTTCTTTTTCATTATACGAAACAAATATAAACTATCATGATCAATTAAAGAAATTTCATTTGCAATATTGTCCTATATAAAGCAAACTGGATTGAAATATTTACATACCAAACGTGTTCGGATAATGGAGAATTCAGATAACGAAAGTACGACTTATCTACAATTTACTGTCCGCGAAAAATATCAAAGGTAAAAAGTATGAAAAATACATTAATTTCACAAAAATTAGTAATGTGCATTTAAGAAATGTCTCTTGTAAATTGTAAAATTATTATCAATACGATTATATTTTTTTTAATACACTATTATTTATGGGATATAAAGTATTAACGTAATTCTACTTGTAACTATTTTCTTTATTGCATAAATAATTACTCTTATACTATTAACATTAATGCATTTAGTAAATATTTTCAATGTTTCCTTTCTTTATTAATGCTTTATATAAAATATTGAATATAAATTGTGGTATACTTGTGTTGGTTAAACGCTCGTGATAATTAAACAAACACTAATAAAATAAAAATAATATTAATCACAAAGAATTTTATTGAAACACTTTTTAAAGTAAGATTTATTGTGACTCATTTTATATAGTGCAACAAAATGTGCATGTAAAATTTAATCATATGATATAAATCATAAGCAACATAAAATAATAATCATGTATTGCATTACATAATAAGACGAAGATAGTATTAAAAAAGCAGAATATTAATGTGACAATAAAAAATAAGTCTAAAATTCATCTCCTTATTTAAAAAGATCACAGAAAAGGTAAAAATCTGAATTCTGAAAGGATTTGTTCCCTTAAAAAGGTTATTATTACTTTTAAAGTATATTGGTATCAAGTAATTTTTATAAATTATAACTTCTTTAAAAATTTTAGACTTTGTTATTCATCTAAAAAACAAAATTCATAATTATGTTAATATTCACAGTTTCCCTAATACTTAGTCGCTTTAAACAGATATTTTATGATTGAATAATTTATAACCTTGAGAATGAGAAAAATATGAAATTCCTTTCAGAATTCGAATCACTGACTATTTTTCTAGGAGATAAGTTTGATGAAATAAACTATATTTCAGTTCGTATCAGTTTACTGTATTTCAATGCTGAGTACGGCGTATTATCAGATAAATGCAAAGAAATGCACGCACATCGAAGCATTAACGGCGAGAAAAAGATTATCGACTCTGATATTCAAGCCGCTCTATGATCAATGTGTCTAAAAATTTTCATAGTTATACGAGCAGAACCAGCCGATAGCATTTCTTCTTTTCTCTTTCATTAACTTACACAAATATTAAAAATGTAATAATTATTTAAACTAAATGTATGTTTGCAAAAAAAGATGAAGTAAAAAGTTACATAATAATAAATAATATTAAACATCGAAATTAATATTGAATCACTTACATAAAATTTATATAAAATTTAAATTGATCAATTAAATGACAATAAAAGATATCAATTTTTATAAAAAAAATAGTAACAATCCGAAAAATCAATAATTATACATATAAAAGCAGTAATAAAAATGTGAAATTGACATAATATTATTTAAATAAAAAATTATTATATTAAAATAAAAATCGAAAAAATAATGGAATCTAATAAAATATTATGTGATATTACTTATTATAAAAAATAGTGGAAATATAATAATATATAATAATTAAATAATTTGAAAAATAAATATGTAGTCGAGGAACGATTGATTTTTCGCAGTCTAAATTTGTTCTTACACTAACAATATATAATGAGTAAACTATGCTATGGAATATAATG